AAGTTTTGATGAATTTTAACTTTTTATAATAGATTTAGGTATATTTTATGGTAGTAAATTAGAAATGGTAGAAATGATACTAGAAATAGACTAGTATCGACATATATTTTATGCGTTCCTGACATATCCAACTTAAAAAAACTTGTTTTTGATATTTCTAGGCTACATGGTGTGTCTGTGAGTTTTTTTCCAATTGTTGCAAATCTCCAAACATTTTTCCAGTATTTTTATTGAAAAAAATCTGTGTAAATGGATCCATGCAGTTTAAACCCATGTTGTTCAAGGGTCAACTGTACAAGTTTTTGTATGTATGCTTTCAGTTCTCTTGGGAATATACTTAGTCATCTCTCTTCCCTTCTCCTGAGCCCCTAGCAACCATTGATCATTTTAGTCTCTATAGTTTTGCCAGAATGTTATGTATTTGGAATCAGACAGTACATAGCCTTTTCAGAATGGCTTATTTCACTTAGCAATATTCAATTAAGGCTTCTTCATGTCTTTTTATGGCTTGATAGCTTATTTCTTTTTATCACTGAACATAATATTTCATTGTATGGATGTATCATGCTTTAATTATCCATTCATGTATTGAAGGACATTTTAGTTGCTTACAGTTTTGGTGATTATGATTAAAGCTGCTTTAAACATTCAGTGCAGATATTTGTGTGGACATAGGTTTTCAAATCAATAGGATAAATATCTAATAGCGTGGTCACTGTATTGTATGGAAAGATTAAGTTTAGCTTTGTAACAAACTACCAAACTTTTCCAAAGTGGCCATATCACTCTTGTGCTCCTGTCAACCATGAGTGAGTTCATATTGTTCTGCATCCTCATCAACATTAGTATTGACAGTTGCTTGGATTGTAGCCATTCTAATAGGTATGTAATGGTATCTCAAACTACCTAATTCAAAATTCAAACCTTCGAATATGAGTAAGAGGACTGGGGAAAACAAACCTGAATATTCTGGATGTTTATTTGGAAAGTGATGATGGCCTTAGGGTAATGCTATGGACTATTAATACAACACCCCTTATATGTGATGCATCATTCACTTTCTATTTAGAAAGCTCTAAACTCTCCATAGTTAATGATGCTGTTTGGGGAGCTGTATGAGAGAAATTAACAGTCTAATCCCTTTCTTCTAAGACCAAAAAAATAGTAGCTACTCTTATATATTAGTGGGATTATAAAAGGGTACAAACTTATTTAGGGAAAAAATAGGCACTACATAAAATTTTAAAATGTATATGTCCTTTAGCACAGCAATTTTTCTTCTAAGAATTTATCTTTCATCTATGTGTATGCACAAGGATGCTTACTGCATCATTTTTTATGGTAGCAAATGACTGGAAACAACCTAAATGTTTATTAGTGGGGGACTGAAAAAATGTTATGATATATCTACACTGTATAAGGAAATACTATTCAGTCTTGAGAAAGAATAAGGTAGATCGGCTTATACCTTAATATACAACAATCTCTTTAGTGTATTAAGTGTAAAACATTTTTTTAGTATACTACGGTACATTATTATTGTGTAAAAGCAAACAGAAACAGGTTTAAACGTTCTTATGCTTGTATAGACGTAGACTCTGGAAGGATACACAAGATATTGGTAACTGATTTCTTCTGTGTGATAGATTTAATGGATTATGTAGTAGTAACTACTGTAAACATTAAAATGCAGGCATACCTGCAGGTTTGGTTCCAGACCACCGCAATAAAGTGAATGTCACAATAAAGTGAGCCACAAGTTTTTTGGTTTCCCAGTGCATATAAAAGTTGTGTTTACACTATACTGTAGTCTATTAAGTGTGCAGTAGCATTAGGTCTAAAAAACAATGTACATGCCTTAATTTAAAAGTGCTCTGGTAAAAAATGCTAATGATCATGAAGATACACATTTACATATCTTAAAATGTCATGTGAGATATGTGCATTTGGCCATACGTTGTTACTATAATAGCTTGTACTCACCTATGAGAACTTTTATGTACATGCTTTGATATTTGTGGTTTTAAACTTGAAGACTCTGTCAGTGGTCTTTTGATCACCCCTTCCAAGGTGGGGTGGATATTGGTAGAAGTTTCAGGTAGCATTTGAAGGAAAAAACCTAATGGTTTTTTGTTTGTTTTTTTATTTAAGTATTTCAAAAGAGTTTTGAGTGATTAGAGAATTCTGCCTGAATAAAGCAGAAGGGTCAGATAGAAGGGAAGGACTGGAGGATTTGAAAGCATTTTGGAAGTATGAATGTACATGGAATTGAGGAATAGAAAAGAGCTAAGGGTCTGCAGGGAACTGAAAACATTTTATAAACATCTCATCTCTAAATTATATCCTTTTATAAAAAATCATCTTCGAGACTTCCTAAAAATACAATAAAAAATCGAATGCCAGATGATAATTTGTGATTTCCAAAGTAATGTAAGAAGAAAACAGCAAAATGAAGAATAGAACCTTATTTTCTTGATTTCCAATCTAATCCTGAGGTTATTCTGAGAGAACCTGAACCTTGATTTGAGCATAGGACATAGCACAAAAGAAACAAAACAAAGTAGAAATTTAAAAAGAAAAAAATTTGTTTTGAATTTGATGTATGAAAACATTTGTTTTCAAACCAGGGTTGTATTTTTCCCCATCCATCCTTAGGGGGTGGGAGTGGGATTGGGAGTTGAATCCAGCTTTGGCTGTAACGCCATTTCTTCGTTTACTCCAAATTATTCTGGCTCAGGAAAAGGAAGGATAATGAAAATACTGAGTTGCACAGCATTTTACAGTTTTAAAAGCTTTTTTCACATATTTTATTTTCTCATTTTAAAACTGCTCTATGATATGGATAGTGGTGATGTTTTGGTATTTTTGTGAGGTTTTCTCTCTTACAGAAATGATAAGCTCTGGAAAGTTAGGTAGTTTGCCTGAGATAACATGGCTGGTATATGTCAGAGCTGGCCTTCACAAAATCAAAGTCAGGTCATTTTTTTTCTTTCTACCAGAGTACTTGGATAAGGTCTTGTGAGGTAGATTTACTTAGTTTGGTGGAATACGAGCTCTGAGAGGGGCTTTGTTCAATTAAACATTTGGAAACCTAAAACTTTGGGGCAGCGTGGTTTGATTTAGTTGATGGTTTTGGGGGCAGGTGAGGCTCTGACCCTCCAGAGTGCATGCACAGCTTAGGTCCTTGTAGTTCTTGTGTACTCTGCCAGCTTTTTTCAGAGCTGATTGTTGCGTCCTCAGTTGCTGCATCAATCTAAGTGGTGGGCTACTTAACAGAAGTGTACTTAACACCATGCCTGAAGACTTGTACCACATTAGTCATTGGAGGGCTTTTTAAATTAATCACACATAAAGTAGTAAAATGTCTTTTTGTAAAATATGTTGGTGAAGTATGTTTCTCACACTAAATTTTGATAAAGGGTGAGATATTTTAGAAGTGCTAGGAGAGAATTTGGTGTTTAATGTGTTATCTAATTAAACTGAAGAAGAATTTCTGCACTCTAGTGTGGGTCTAGAGCCTGACTATATCTAGTATTTGACCTTGGATTTACTGAGTGCCCTTGGAAACCACTGAGAGGTTCTAAGTAGAGGAGTAACATCATCTGATTAGTTCTTTTAAGGAAATCCCTTGGCTGTTGAGCAGAGATATAGGGGGAGTGTGTTAGAATTGGGCATCGATTTAATTCTAATTAAACACTTGGGAAGAGACCTACATTTAAATGAGAATGCCAGTACAGATGTTTCTTTACTTATGATGGAATTACCTCCTGATAAACCCATTATAAGCTGAAAATATTGTAAGTCAAATCATCCTAAACCGAACCATCCTAATTCGGGGACTGTCTGTACTTTAGAGTGAAGAATACCTGTCATTTGAATTGGATATATGGATTGACAGGTAGATTCTTAGTTTATCTCAGGATACTCAATACTTTTTGAAAGCTCCTCAGGTGACTATAATATGCATCCAGGGCTGAGAACCACCTACCACTTCACTTTGGTGAAAGAGGGAGGGATTTGGGGTTAAGGTTGGGAGATGGGTGTAATGAGTGAACAGCTGTGGAGAGCTTGGAAAGCATAATAATTTTTATGTGTTCTCTTTGGAATTCCACTTTCATATTCATATGTTAAAACGTCTGAATGTTTTGGTGGAATGAATTTAGTAACATTAAACTGTAGAGTTCCTCTTTATCCAGCCTCTAATTCTTTCCAATCTATTCCTTTTCATATGAAAAGAGTATTAAGAAGGGGTGACTAGAGTATTATACAGTTTGATAAGAATTTGCCAGAATTAACAGAAGATTCCATCTTTTAAAAACTCTTAAAACCATTTCTAAGCCTAGTTTTAGTTGATCCATTAAAAAAATTGTTTGTGTATGTGTGCGTGTGTGTATAAAAGTGTTCAGAAATTTGAGCCAGCCCTAATGTCTTACCTAACTGGTTAACCAGAATTCTGGATTAAGATTGATTACTGATGCTTCCTATAATTGGGTAGAAGGACATGTAGCTTTTCTTTCTTGCTCTAGGATTTTTATATGTTTTATTGATATAAAATGGTATCTTTATACTTCTTATAAGCAGGAAACAAACTTATTTGTATTAGGATAAATAGGGGTGAAAAGGAATAAAATGACTAAAACCTTTCATGGAAGTCCTCTTGTTTTTGTTGATTATAACCTATAATCCTGAATTGTTCACTTATTGTAAGAGATGGATTCATTATAGCTGAAAATTATTTTTCTCCTTGTGAGTTAAAGTAGGGACTGTAGAGAAAGTTTGTAGGTGTTTTGGGTAGAAAACATAGTAGTTACAACAATTATATTGTTGGGATTTAACATAGCCAATATAGTTTAGCTCTACTGATGAGGGGAGCTAAAAGTATATTTTCTGTTTATTTATGGATGTTTAGGATTTTATTATATCCCATAGATAGTGTAGTAGACTCTGTTGAAGGTCATGCCTTAAATATTTAAGTGCCTTTTTTTCTTTTTTATTCATAGTGGTAGTCGTGCTTCTAAAACTTTTAAACCAAAGAAGAACATTCCAGAGGGATCTCACCAGTATGAGCTCTTAAAACATGCAGAAGCCACACTTGGCAGTGGCAACCTCCGGATGGCTGTCATGCTTCCTGAGGGGGAAGATCTAAATGAGTGGGTTGCAGTTAACAGTAAGTAGCCTTTCTATTTCTCAGAAGACTCTGAATTGGGTTTACAGTCTCATTGTAGGTGAGTGTTGGGGTCCTATCTATGCTAGGATCTAGGTAGCAACCTAATATCATAATACAGTGGTGTCTTAATCCAATTTTACCCTTTATTTTGTTTTATTTCTGAATATAGAATTTTATAAAATTCATGTCTGCTGTTATAATATATCACAAAGCATAGATTTACTATCTTCAGTGGAATAATGATATTAACAATTAATATTTGTTGAACACTAATTATGCGTCTGGCACTCTGCTATCCTGTCTACATGGATAATTTTATTTCTACTTTATAACCCTTTGATGTGGGTACAATTATTATCCCAGTTTAATAGATAAGGAAGCTAAGACAGAAAGACTAGTAATTTGCCTAGGTTGTACAGCTATAAATGGCAGAGCCTGGGCTCAAATACACAGCTATAGAATTTCAGAGTCTACTTTAACCACTACGCTAAATTGTCTCAGCATACTCAATTATTTTTCCAAATTGTGCTTATTTTTTTAAAAAAGACAATTCAGTAGAGATCTTAAAAATTTAGTAAAATATGTTTGTGAGATATTCTTAACTCCTAGAATGAAAAACATATAAGTAAAAAGTAAATATATTTTTAGGAATTGTATTAGTCTATTTCTGTTGCTTATAACAAAATACCCGGAACTGGGTAATTTATAATGAAACAATATTTATTGCTTACAGTTTTGGAGGCTGGGAAGTCCAAAGTCCAGGGTACACTGGTGGTGAAGGTCTTGGTGGTGGTGACAGTGACCCACTGGTCTCACATAGCAGAAATGGCAGAGCAGGGAGAGACTCTCATGTGCTCTCCTTTGAAAGCCCTCAGAACCATGCCCCTGACCACCATTATTAACCCATTCATTAAGATATGGTCCTACAATCTAATCACCTCGTCAAGGCCACACCTTTCAATTATCACAGTAGGATTTCCCACCCTCTTGACACTGTCACAGTGAGGGCCAAGTTTCCAATACCTGGAACTTTGGGAGACACAATTTAAGTTTCAGTGAGTTTAGGGGAGACATTCAATTCACAGTAGGAATTAAGCCAGAGAAAACTGGGAAATAAAAGGTTCAGGGCTTTTCAGTATTAGTGAAAAAATTAATAGAATTTTATAATTGAAGGAAATTTATATAACTCTAGTAAAAATAAAATGAAATTTAATTAAAAGCATACACTAAATGTCTAGGCTTTGATAAATGAAATGCAAAACATTTCTTATAATATTTTATGGGATCTTATTATAATTTAAACTGTCATGGGATTTATAAATTGAGCTGCCACCCACTAATAACTTTTAGGAAACAGAAGGATTTTTACTGAGATGTCTTAAAACCTTACTGTGACAGAGTCTCTCTCTGCTCTGCCATTTTCTGCCATGATACCCCTGGGTCACTGTTGCCACCACCAAGACCCTCACCAGATGTGTTCCCTGGACTTTGGACTTCCCAGCGTCCAAAAGTAGGCAGACTCATGTAGAACATCAAAGAGGGCGGTTCTAAGATGGCGACGGGTCTGGAGCGGCTGTGACAGGAGACAGCGTGATCCTGAAAGCTGTGCGCTGTGATACCAGAGTATTGATTGCATTTTCAAGAGCAACAAAAGGCGAATAATTCTTTCAACAACGATCCTACATCGACAAATAAGTGGCAGCAGGTTCAAGGTTTTGGGGCCGACACAGAGGAGGACTCCTGAGAGTGCCCAAGCCCGGCTGCGGCAACGAGCGATCAGCCCAGACAACAAAGGCCAGGAAAGCCAGCAAAGGACTGCGCAGAGGCG